TCTTCATTCTTTCTTTCTCTCCACTCGGACTCCAACAGTTGAATTCCTTTTCTAATTTCATCGTTCTCAAGACAAACCATAGCAAACAACCGGTCCTCAAATGTTCCCTATACATGAAAGAAAAAAAACAAAGGAAAACATAAATTAAAGATACTTGTACCTATGAAAATATATTAGTGCTAAAACATAAATTCTCGATAAAAATTAAAGAAAAACTTGGGTTTCCACAAACTTACGCTCCTCCAAAACAGACGATACCAAATACACCTAGAAAGAAAATCATAGTGGTTTAATTACAATATCGATTAACCAAAAAATAAAAAGAAGAAGAAGAAAACACATAATACTATAGAATTGTATAAATTACCTTATGCCTCATTATTTTCTTCAAAGATTGTAAGAACCCTTCTAATGTAGACGACAACGTGACCCACGTCCATTGAAATAGACGGGGAATTTCCTCGAGCGTCGACCGCTTGCCCAAAGAAGGGATACGCTAGTAGAACTAACCCTACGCATACACATGATTTCAAAATTACACAATTTCATAATTTAATATTATTGTATTATTAAGACACTGAAACAAATATATACATATACCATCAATCTCACTACACATCCATCAAAGTATGATCTGTCGCTCGATTGGGAATGGCGAACTAGCTCGTTAATCAAGAATTTGTGAGTAGCATCTCTCCATGCATACTCACAAATTCGACCGACATCCTCCACATATGGATAAACAAACCTTGGAATTGAATAGCTTGAACAAGTGAGCAAAATGCAGCTACACACAAGAAAAATGTACATTCGGGTGAAGTCGTCAACACGACCTTCATCCGCAGCATACTTACCTAATAGCTCTACGACATTTTTTCTTTTCCACAACTTCTTATGTACTCAACTTCAAGCATCGTACAAGGCTTTTGACTCTATACTAAGGTCTAATTCTACACTTAGACCGCCCTGTCTTAGCCCCGTTGTTATACAAAACTCGACTGGTCGATATTCAAAACCAAATTATCACCAACGATAAACGCATTCAAATCTACCCTCTACGTACTAACTAGAGCCTCAACTCTAGTATACAAAACTGCTAAATCGGGCATATTCACAAAAAAATAAAAAGGACTCTTTTCAAGAGCCTCCTCGTGCTTGTCCGAGAGCACAACAACCGTTCTATCCATCACATCTTTGAAGTATGAAGGGGCACACCTACATCTTAGTTCTATGCCCTATCACAAACAAATAAAACAAAGACAAATTTCAAATAATGATACAATTCAACAATAACGACACCTCAACCTATTTCAACAATAACAACACCTCATTCAAATTGATATAAAATACAAAACAACACCTCAATCCTAATTGATATTCAAATTGATATAAAACACCAAACAACACTTCAACCCTAATTCATATTCAAATTGATATACAACACCAAACAACACCTCATCCCTAATTCATATTCAAATTGATATAAAACACCAAACAATACCTCAACCGTAATTCATATTTAAATTGATATAAAACACCAAACAACACCTCAACCCAAATTGAAGAACCAGCAATGACTTGGGTCAAATTAAACATACCAAAATTGATAAACAACAACAACAAATAATTCAAATAAAACAGTCAATTGCGAGTCCCAAACAAGCAATTGCGAGTCAAATTCAATAACAACAGCAACAATTGATCCAAAAAATACCAAAATAAATAAAAATAATGAACCCTAGACATGCAAAGAGCCCTAATTTATCAATAAATTTCGTAATTAGAGAAATAAAATCAAATTCGAAGTGTGCATCAACCAAATACCAAATTTTGAAAAATCTCGAATTCAATGAAAAATTCAAAATTTTGAAAAAAAAAATCCCCGAATTTCGAATTGAAGTAAAATTCAAAATTTTTGAAAAAAAATCCCCAAAGTATTACCTTGCTTACTGTGGAGGACGGATTGTTGGATGTGGAACGGCGAGGAGGACAGTTTTTCGATCCTGCCATGGAATTTTCCCAGAGAATTGGCCGGCGATTTTCATAGAGAGAGAGATGATCGACGATGAAATTTTCAGAGAGAGAGACGAATGGAGAGAGACGGAATTTTCAGAGAGAGACAGACGATTGGCGATGAAATTTTGAGAGAGAGAGAGAGAGTGACACTCGACGATGAATTTTGAGAGAGAGAGAGAGAGAGAGAGAGAGAGAGAGAGAGAGAGAGAGACGAGTTGAACGGGGAGAGAGAGAGAGACGAGCTTTAATTCAATTTTTTTACAAAAATAAGGCAAATTAAATAAATAATAATAAGAGTAGTATATATATGTGGAGTGATTTGAAAAGAAAAATTTAGATGTAGGGAGTGCAGAGGAAGTAAAGACGAGGTGGGGACTAACAAGGAAACTCAATTATGCAGTGGTGATTTTAGAGGAATTAACCGCAATTTAGTGAATCATATATCACCTAATTCAATATCTTAACATTACAGAATAAATCCATAGTGTTATGTAAATCCGTATCTCATATTATTATATAATTAAAAATATATTATAGTTATAATCAAATCATAAAAATTATTAAATCCATATTGTAAAAAAATAATTCATATAATTTTATAACAATTTTACTACACTATTTAACAGTATTCCTTTTTATTGTATAATAAAATAATAATTAAATATTATATAGTGAACAATAATGAGTAAAATTGTTACTTTCTCTTATATCAAGGGATAAATTTATATGCTAAAATTAAATTTTTATTAGTATAAATGCTTTAGTGAGGTAATATATTAATTATTTTACAAGTTAGCCCTAACATGCTCATATTTAATGTTCTGGCTAAAAATAACGCTGGTTGAAAGATGTGGAGAAAAACTTAATTATAACCTATTGTTTTTTGGACTTAAGACGTTGATTAAAAGAGGTAGAAAATTACCCTATTACTTTTTAGACTTAAACGAACAAGACTGTAAAAATAACTCATTTAATATCTTTGTTCCGTGCACCGCACGTGGTACGTACTAGGTTTTTTATGAAAATAAGGCAAAATAAATGAATAATAATAAGAGTAATATCTATGTGTAGTTAGACATGGCCACGGGTCACCCGGCCCGCCGATCCGGCACGGACCCGACCCGATCAAACCCGTTGACCACGGGTCCGGGCCCGACACGGATTTCAAACGGGCCGGTCAAGGCCGGGGTCGTGTCGGCACGAAAAAATACATTGCTTTTGATTTTTTTCTTTTCTTTTTTAATTTTTTTATGTGGCCGGGTCCAAACCCGGGTCGGGCCCGGCCCGGCCCGGCCCGCCGGGTCATGAACCCGACATGACCCTAGGTTCGTGCCGGTTCAGGGTCGTCGAAACCCAACCCGGTGGCCCAGCGACCCGACCCGGTTTTTGGCCATGTCTATGTGTAGTGATTTGGAAAGAAAAATTAGATGTAAGGAGTGCAGAAGAAGTATAAACGATGTGGGGACTAACAAGGAAACTCAATTATGCATTGGTGATTTTAGAATAATTAATCGCAATTTAAAGCGTTGTCTATAATAAAATTACATATGATTTGGAAAAGTTATTGTAATCAAGCAAATCGTACGGGTGAAAAGTCTCATTTTAAATATAGATAATAAGATTTTATTTAAAAGAAATAATTTAAAATTTAAATAAAAAAGCTTTCCTCTTAGAGCATCCACAATGCTTTGGGTCTCTTTTTGCATATGTGGCAAATAAATAGACTTAAGTCCATAATGACATGGACAAACCTAAACTAAAAAAACCAAAATCTATGCAATGCAAAACAAAAAAGTACTAGGTCTAGAATACATGACAACCAATAAAAATGCTCTAGTATATTTCATTTATTAAAAGAAAAATTAAATGAGGAATAAATGATGAGTGCTTGGGTTTGTACTTTGGTCTAAAATAGACCCAAGTGTGGACTAGGTCTCATTTTTTTATTGCCACATAAGCTAGACTAGGTCCATTTTTAATTGCATTGGAGAATACTTTTTTATAGACTATGTCTATTTCTTACATGGCATGTAACTTTTTTCTAAGAAACTCAAAGCATTGTGGGTGCTCTTACATCATTTTAAGAATTTCAATACAAATTTTTGTATTAGTCACAGTTAAACCAATAAAATTGAAACAAAAATTGACAAAGCTCTATTACCCTTCCAAATTCCATTCCAATACAAAATTATACGTGATATTCCAAATTTAACCTTTTAAATTTCCACGGAAAGAATATTACACTGCACCTAAACAAGAGTACAAACGGATTTCTTTGTCCGATGCCAACGACTGTGTCATCCACATCCAATGGATGTGTGACACATGGGAGTCATGTGTTGTAAATGTAAAAGAAAAAAAAAAAACTGAAAAAGCAGTTGCCCCTATCTTTTACCCTAATCTTTGTTTTCTTCTAATTTCCCCTCTCTCTCTCTCTCTCTGGATGAGATGCGAAGGTTTTAATAAAAGCTTTTATCTCTCCTGCTATGCTATGGTAAGCATCATTTAACTTACCATTTTCTTCTACTTTCTTTTTTTCCTTATTAATGTAATTAAATTGGTATATGAGCTAGATATGAGCGCTAGATATTCAGGTAGGTAGATGCTTTAATCGATTTTTTATTTAATGAATTCAATTTTTTTTCCATAAATCTTTATTTGAATCAGTAAATTAAGGAATCATAATGGATGGGAGATTCTCAACACTCCAGATTTCGGTAATTCCTAGATTTTGAAGCAATTCGTGATTAATTACCTCGTGAATTTATTCGAAATAACGGTCCAAATTAAGATTGTATAGTTTTGGACAAATCAGTTTAACCATTTTTTTTTTTCTAATTATTCGTCAATTTTAAGCATAGAAGGCCAGAACAGTTGCTTGTATCATCGGAATATGAGTTAAAAACATTAATGTTATTGTTACTATACTTTTTGCTTCTGGCCTATTTTTTTATTTTTGTATTTTTTATTTTGTTTTCAGAAAAATGAGTGTGGTTGAAGCTGGTAATTGTTGGGATGCAATTTCCAATTGTGTCCTGGGAGATGAAGAGTTTGATAACATACTCAATATTTTGGATTTTCCTTTGGAGAGTTTGGAAGAGGATGGGTTTGTGGCTGATTGGGATATCGGCAAGTCTGAATGTCTCGGGCCCCTACGGCCCGACGAGGTAAGCGGGCCCCCGGCAGTTGCCGACACCAACGTCAATTCTGGGCCTCCTCCCCATTTGCCGACTGGACTTAATGTTGCTGTGAGTTTTCTTCTAAATCCCTGTTAAATAAAAGCTTTGGCTTTGTGTACTGGATTCTTGTAGTAGGCCTTTTGATTGTTTGATCATGTTTATTTTAGCCACAATTTTGGTTATGTTCCTTATTATTTATAGTGTTCTACTGCAATTTTCTTGAAAATTTTATGGTTTTTTCCTCCTTGTCAAACAGTTATTATTGGAGTTATCATATATATTCACTTTCACCACCATAATTCATATTCAGCTCTTGAGTTTAAGTTGTTCATGTGGCTGCATCATGTTGTTTTTTCCCCTTTTCATCTGTTTTAATTGGCAATTTGCTGTCATTTATTTCATTTTTTTTGTCCAAATAACCAATAATAGATAGGAGCTGAAGAGCAAAAGCCGGGGCCACACCTCATCTCAAGTCCGGGGTCACATAATGACCTCCAACTAAACAAATCAGCTGAGGCCCGAGAATCCAGCATCTCCCACACCCAAAGCCCGGTTTCGGTTCTCGAGAGCAGTGGGTCCTGCTCGGCTCCCGGCAAGAACCCGCTCGTTGTGTCCTCTAACCCAATCCCCATTCGGCCCCGATCCAGTAGGCACAAACGGGCCAGTACAAACCCCTGGCCCACGCCGTTGTCTCTTTTCACCTCCATCCTACAAAAAGAAAACCTCAAGGAAAAGAAATCACCGGACGAGGCTGAGGATGAGACTGAGAAATTGGTTCATCCGCGGGCCCCGGTGAAGAAGTGCATGCACTGTCAGGTGACCAAGACACCACAGTGGAGGGAAGGCCCGTTGGGGCGCAAAACACTGTGCAATGCGTGTGGTGTCCGGTACCGTTCGGGCAGGCTGTTCCCGGAGTACCGGCCAGCGGCGAGTCCGACGTTTGAGGCTGAGGATGAGACTGCAAAATTGGTTCCTCCGCGGGCCCCGGTGAAGAAGTGCATGCACTGCCAGGTGACCAAGACACCACAGTGGAGGGAAGGCCCGTTGGGGCGCAAAACACTGTGCAATGCGTGTGGTGTCCGGTACCGTTCAGGCAGGCTGTTCCCAGAGTACCGGCCAGCGGCGAGTCCGACATTTGTGCCGTCCCTGCACTCGAATTCACACAAGACGGTGATAATGATGAGGAACGAAGGGAAGAAGCTCAAGGTGAAAATGGAGGAGCCTCACATGTTGTAGCTGGTCTGGTAGGGGTTTTGGTTTTAGATGCTGCTGCTTGTAGCCTGTTTGTTTCAGATTAGATTATGGTCAACATTTTCTGTCTGTTTGGACTGTTTGTTCCATTAGGACTGAATCATAACACAATAATCTTGGGTGTCAATACTCAAAGAGTTTGTATGGAACTTTTTTTTTTATATTTATTTTTTATTTACTTTTATGGACTTAATATATATGTCTGATTGTTGTTGAATGGAGTCTGAAGGAGGTGTTGTATTATTATGTTTTGTAATATGAATTTTAAAAATATACTAATAAAATATGGTAGTTGTTGTGATTCATATTGTTTAATATAGGTTGTGTTGGAACTTGATGTACTACCCCTTACAAGCCAACTCGGCTAAAATAGCACTAGAACCACAGCCATGCTTCCTCATGAGAGTCTGAAAACTCCTTGGCTGCAGACCAAATATCCCAAGCTACTCATTCCTTCCATAGTGTTCCACCCATTCCAAGCCAACCACTATTGGAAGAGTGGACACTGAGGACCTGTCCTACCCCTAATCTCACGCTCTTGTGAAGTGTAAATGTGGACGTACCATCTCTTTTCAGAAAAGACGTGTTACTCTCCAAGACAACTAGATATTCCCCCGATTCACCTCTTGCTCCTTTGACAATGTCCTTCTCATTGATCCATTTTTTTTAAAACACCCACAAATTTCTGGTCTTCCAGAGCCGCATAACAGGTAGGCTGAAAGAAACTAGTTCTATCCATCATGTAATGTTGTGTACTTGTAGTGTTGATGGAGTGCCACCAATCTTTGAAGTTGTACTTACTTTGGTCTGTGTCATTCCAACTGAGTCCCATCAACTTCCAGCAAAGTGTATCCCTTTGACAATTGAAGAACAAGTGTTTAGTATCTTCAATTACCTTCTCCACAAATCTTAAATCTCTCATCTGTTTTGTATTTCGTTCCTTGCCGAGTGACTCTTGATGCTCAGATATCCATGCCACAGTCTCCATTTTTCACCTTCAATCTCCATGTCTCCTGCCACATTCTCTTCTTCCCTTCGCACTCTTTGCTTGTATCTCTTGTCCCCTGGGCTTCATCCTGTTGGCCATAGTAGTTCATAAACACCTCTCGTTGAAAATCGTCCTTTTTTGTTCCAATGCCAGATGAGTTTGTCTCTGGTACCACACTGACTTAAAGAGATCTTGAAGATTGCTTCTGTAACAGAAGGTTCAAATTTGGAGGACTAAATTCTTATCCTACATATTCTCTTCATGAAGGATGAACTCTCCAACTATAGAGTATCTCTCTTTTTCACCCAAAAATCGAGGGGTAATTTTTTTTTTTCTTTATTGAAGGGATCCAAGGAGAATCCCAAACACGAATGACATTCTCATTACCCACCGGAAAATCTAGCACCTGACTTAAGAGTTTTCTTAGCCTCTAGCCAACTTCTCCAGAGCTAGGAATCTGCTCTTGGGTTTAACATCAATCAATTTCTTTTTCCAGAAATACTTTTCTCTCATGAGTTTGGAAGCTAGGAGATTAGGGTGAGTTAACACCCTCCACATTTGTTTGAATAACATTCTTGAAATCTAGTCCCCCACTCTCTTTGAGTTTTGCAAGTTTATCCCACCCAACCAAATGGAGCATATCTCCCAAGCTCCTTGTGTAATAATATTTTATATTATTCTATTATTATGGACCATATAATTAGTTGGACCTAATTGAATTAATAGTCAAACTTAATAAGGAGAATATGTATTTAATGGATTATTTATGTTCTAATATTAAAAAGTCCAATTTGTGATGTTTGACTTGGACAATAAGTTAGGTTAGAACATGGGGAATGTTAGTATGATTAGGATTGTAGGTCTCCTCCTATATATACTACTACATGCCCCCTCTCTCCCATCTCATACGAAATAAAGTTCTCAACATCAAGGGCTTTATGCAAAGACGAGAGATGCGGGAGAGAGAAACAATTCAGAGAGATGCGGGAGAGAGAAACAATTCATAGGCGAAAAGAATCCATAATTGAAGATTACGAGAAAGATGATTGAGAAAGATGATCGTGTAGATCAACATCATAGATGAACGGAGATAGAATTACATGATTAGGGTTTATTCAATTCCTCCTAATAGTCATGAATATACCCGTTAAATTTCTTACATGTGGTATCAGAGCATGTGTTTATGCATATGATTAAGTTGCCTATCACAGTTTAAGCACGTCGTCCTGTGATGTGAATTACAAATTAGTGCCAGAATTGTTCTTAACAACAGTCGCACTGCGTCTGAAATAATTGCCGTACAGAACATGAGAGTTGCGTTCTTCTTGTTGCTCCTGATTGTTATTTGCAATATAATCAACATGTGATTGGAATTATTTGCTTTGCAAATTGATTGAACAATTTGATATTTATTCTGCGTGTCCATGTATGATATTTGGGCAAATAATGTTTTGGGTACTCAAATTGTTTATTAATTCCCGTACAAGTATTGCCATTAATGATTACGTCTTGGTTGGTTTGGTCAATTATTTTCTTGGCCTGAATTGTTAAGATTGATATCATGTTGTATTTTGATTTCTTGCTGGAATCATTACAGGATAATGTCTTTTTTATTGAGTAAGAACTTAGATCCTTGATCATGTAAACCTGAACATGTGGTTAAGATTTTAGAATATGTGAGATATATCTTGGAATGGTAATTTCGTCAAGCTAATTGCAGAGATTAATAAAAGTTTGAATATCTCATAATATTATCAAATAAAATTATTTTCTAATTTTGTTATCTATGCACGAAAACTAGTTAGTCACTAAAGTGACCTAGTTTAATTTATGGAATAGATAATTAAAATTAGATAAAAGTATTAATTATTTTCTAATTATATTATCTATGTAAAAGAACTAGTTAGTCACCAAAGTGTGGCCTAGTTCAACTTATGGATTAGATAATTAAATTAGATGAAGTATGAATTATTCAAATATAAAAGGATGTCTTATTAATGTCTTTCAAATTATATATTTGAATAATTGATGTCATGAATTATAAACTCAGGACGACACCCAAAGGTGGGCCATATGTTTATAGTTTGTGACAACTAAAAGAGAAATTATAATTAGAGTTAGGTCAATTAGTGCGTTTGTCCAAAGATAACCACTAATTGATCAGAATTATATAATTTCTATTAAGGATTAATATTAAAAAGAGAAGTTATACCTAAAGTGATGTTAACTAGTGTGTTTTGTTCGAAGATAGCCGCTAGTTGACTTAAGTATGTATAATCTCTATTAAAGAATAATATATAAAAGAGAAATTATAATTATAGTTAGGTTAATTAGTGTGTTTGTCCAAAGATAACCGCTAATTAATCACAATACCTATAATTTCTATTAAAGATCTTTCCTCTTAGGCATCATTCAAGTACATCATATATTTAAGTATTTGCCCAAAGATATATTTAGATATATAATTTAAAAGATTTTTGAATCTATTAATTGTCTCAAAGCTTAATTAAATAGCATGTATGAAAGTTTGCAGTGTTTAAATTGGTTTTTCCGTCAAGTACTATTATTGAAAAATTCAATGGGCTAAACTTCAATGAATGGTCTGAGCATATCCTTTTCAGCTAGGATATGACTCTAATTACTGATGAAGCTCCCACAACCATTAATGATTAAAACTTCAAAGTAGAGGTAACTCTTCGTAGGGTATGTGAGTGATCAAATAGGTTGTGTTTGAATTTTATGAAGTTAATCAAGGCGGATAACATTAAGGCTAATAATACAAAAGGATTCCTAAATAAAAAATAAAGGAGTTATCTCCATATAAAATTACGGGAGAAGTCTATTGTGGAAAGTTTTATGAGCGAGCTCACCACTATAAAAGTTCGACTGATTCTGCTCCATCTATAATCTCGTGACCAAACATGTTCAACATATAAGCTAAACTTACAAACATGAGAATGAATGTGATAGACTCATTTATGGTTCTAATCATCATGAACTCCCTACCTGTCAAGTTTGGCCAATCCTAGGTGAACTATAACACCATTAAAGATAAATGAGATTGTAAGGAAATTAAGGTTCTGCTGGTGCAGGAAGGAAGATGTGAGAATAAAGGAGATGAAAAAAGAGTCGATTCATTTTATATCTCATGTGGGAGCCAATAATAGTAAGATAAAATGGGAAACAAAGACAAATAAAAGAAGATTGGCTTACATAAAGTTTTTGCAGATCCAATCATTAAAGAAACGAGGTGTTATTTCTGTAAAAAGTTAGGCCACCTCATAAATGATTGCCCGAAATAAAATCTTGATTTGAAAAGAAAACATACATTAATTTTCGTATGTTGTGAATCAGATTTATTAAGGTTTCCCAATAATACTTTGTGGCTTGATTTTGTGCAACTATTCATGTATGAAGTTAAACGTCGTGCACATAATAAGAAATCTGCTCTCTTACGGCATTAAAGATTATGGTCACATATCCGAAGAAAATTTTTGAGAATGGTGAATAAGGAAACTATTTCTCATTTGGATTTTAGTGATCAAGATGTATATATAGAATGAATTAAAGAAAATCAAACTAGACATACATTAAAGAGATCTGTCGATAGAAGCATTAAAATCTTATAACTTATGTACACTACTAAACTTTTTTTTTTTTTTTTTGTGGTCTGTTCGACGTCCCTTTATGGGGTGATTTAAAGTATCTAATCACCATTACAAGTGATTTCTCACGTTACGGTTATATTTATCTACTACATGAAATGACTCAATCACTGGACTATCCAAAGATATACATTGATGAGATGGAAAAGGTAGTTAGATAATTAAATAAAAATTGTGAGATCTCACTAGATTGGTGATATTATTGTAAGTTCAATCAAAGAGGATAATATCCTAGTCCATTTGTAAAGATTCTTGAGGTTTAAAATATTTGTGTGCAATACATTATAATTGAGGCTTCTCAACGTAATGGTGTTGCTGAGAGGATAAACCGT